GAAAATTGTTGGGTTAAAGATGGAACTGTACAAGGAGGGGAGGGGAGGGTCACCATTAATGGAGTTAGAGGAAATGTATTTTTTGTTCCGGTTGAAGGGGCAGAGAAGTGGTGTTTAAGTTTTGTTTTTTTTTTCATTTTTTTTACTTTAAAATAATTTCTTAAATTTTTTTTACTTTATAATATAATGTTTAAATAATTTTTTGGATTAAAAAATAACACATTTCATTATTTAATTGGTCAAATTGACATGTCAGCGCGAGTGTATTTCACACATTCTCTTTTTTTGTTTATTCTCGAAAAAATGTTCAAATGGTTTAAATTCAGAATGGTTAAAGTGTTCAATAGGTAGTACGTCTAGTTGAGGTGTCTAAATGAATAATCGGGACAAGTTTGAGTGGCCGCATATGACTTTGGCCTAAAATATATATAAAAAAAAATGTGTTCCTATATATATTATGTATATATAAGCCAATTAAACAGAAACTTGTGTATAGTTAGTTCGTGAACAAAAGAAACGTAGAAGAAAAAAAAAATAATCTAAGAATGGGTTCAATTAATGAAGCAAGAAAGCCTCATGCTGTTCTTCTCCCTTATCCATCACAAGGACATGTTACTCCCATGATGTCACTAGCAAAACTTCTTCATTCAAGAGGCTTTCATATAACATTTGTAAACACTGAATTCAACCACAAACGTCTCATTCAATCCAAAGGTGTTGATTCAGTGAAAGGTTTGCTTGATTTCAAATTCGCGACGATCACAGATGGAATGCCAGCATCAGATGAGAACGCGACTCAGGATATAACATTACTTTGTGATACAACTCGAAAGACCTGTTTAGTTCCGTTTAAAAAGCTTCTTACTAAGCTCAATTCTGGTGAGGTACCACCAGTTAGCTGTGTAATTTCAGATGGAGTTATGACGTTTGGCATTAGGGCTGCTCAAGATTTGGGCATTCCGGATGTTACTTTCTGGACTGCTTCTGTTTGTGCCTTCGTTGGATATTTGCATTATCGTCAACTTATCAAACGAGGAATTTTCCCATTCAAAAGTAAGTGAAATTTATTACTTTTGAAGTAATATGCATTGCATAATTGAATATATGCCCTCACATAGTACAATACCAAACAAAGTATTAAATGCACACGAATCTTGTTTTGTTTTACACAGATGATAACTACCTCATAGATGGCACTCTTGACACACCAATAGATTGGATTCCTGGAATGAAGGATGTTAAACTCAAAGATCTTCCCAGCTTCCTTAGAACTACGGATCCTAATGATATAATGTTCGATTTCATGGGAGAGGAAGCACAAAATTGCCTCAAAGCATCTGCCATTATGTTCAACACGTTCGAGGAATTGGAGCCCGAATTATTACAAACTATAGTCTCAAATTTCAATTTCTATAATATTTACTCGATAGGGCCACTCGGCCCCTTGCTGAGAAAACATGTCCCTCATCATAGCCAAGTTCTATCGCTCAACTCAAGCTTATGGAAACCGGACACCACAATTTTTGAGTGGTTACATAACAGAGATATCGACTCTGTTTTGTATGTTAACTATGGAAGTGTGACAACAATGACCAATGATCATTTCTTGGAATTCGCGTGGGGTCTTGCCAATAGCAAGCAACAATTTTTATGGATAGTTCGTCAAGATATTATCAAGGGTGAATCAGCCACATTGTCTGAGGAATTTCTTGAGGAGATTAAGGATAGGGGTATATTAGTGAATTGGTGTGCACAAGAACAAGTGCTACGCCACCCGGCAGTGGGTGCATTCTTGACTCATTGTGGATGGAACTCGATGATGGAAACCATATCTGAAGGTGTACCGGTCATTTGTTGGCCTTTCTTCTCGGATCAACAAACGAATTGTCACTACTCGTGTGAAAAATGGGGGATCGGGATGGAAGTTAATCATGATGTGAAACGAGAAGAAGTGGCGAAACTGGTGAGTGAGATGATGGTAGGGGAAAAGGGGAAGGAGATGAGGTCCAAGGCTAGAGAATGGAAGATGAAAGCTAAAGAAGCCACTGATGTTGGAGGATCATCTTTTCAAGGATTTCTCAAGTTAGTCAAAGCAATGTTTTGAACTAGTAGATGATACATAGTTTATAATCAGTATAATGCAATTCACGGTTTATTGCTAATTGGAAATGTTATTTTATTGTATGAAGTTTAGTATTTCGGTTATAGATTGTAAACCAAAAATAAATCATCATAATCTTACTCCATGAGTACTTTGGAACATCACCATCAACCAAAAAAAAAAACACAAGAACCACTCAGTATTTACGAGGAAACTTACTAATATTCTTCACGATCTAGTAATTTATTTCAGATTTGCCTATTCGCGAAATAGGTTGCCTAAATGTTCCAACGAAACTATAAGAGCAATAGGTAAAGAAGACAATGTTTTTACATGGAAAACACCCAATTCAAAAGGTAAAAAATTCACGACTTGTATCCCTGTAGAATTTAATTCCAACATCACTAAATCATTGAGTCTCAACAATTTAAGATTACAAACTCTGTAACCTAAGGAACTGATTCTAATTTCCTAAACTTCAAGTTATTGATGTAATTACAACTTTTGCAATCCTAGGAACTAACTTTAATTCCTAAACTTCAAGTTATTAATTCAGATTACAACTCTTGCAATCCTAGAAACCAACTCTAAATCCTAAACTTCCACACAAACCTCTCAAGGTATGTTTTCCAACTCTTCGAGCTATCCCAACTTGAAGAAAACACTCTTAATTCAATTTGTAACTCACTAAACTAAGATTACATCAAGAATCAATCACAAAGAAAAGTTCCTTACTTATAAACTCTGTAAAAAGACATGAATCCATTGATTCCATATGACTTATTACTAGTTCCGCTTTCACACTTTATGTTAGGTTATTAGCATTTTAATATTAATATTTAACATGTTAAATTGTTTTATTTTGGAGTTATAAGAAAACATTGGAATGGATAACTTCTAGATCATCCATTAGAATTGGTTGTCCATCACTTTATTTCATTCTTAATACCTCCATTACTCTTTGTAACTTATGTAACTCCCATTGTAACCTATGTAACTTATGTAACTCCCATTGTAACCTATGAAACTCCTAAGGTCATTATCTTCACTATTTACTACCTCCATTATCTTCCTATTCATTGTTAGGAAGACTTCTTGTAGTATAAATAGTGGTAGTCTTCATTTGGTTTTAGATACACACAATTCATAAGAGAAAACAAAGAGTGAAAGAGTTAGTCTAAAAGAGAGTTCTTATTAGTTGAAGGGAGGTGTTCTTTTTTTGGAGCTTTGGACTCAACTCTTGTCCAGAGTTGTTGAGTTATACTTTGTGAAGGCTGTTATATCCTGGAGGGGACAAGTCAAAGAGGACTACTGCTGAACCGGTGAAAACATTTGCTGCAGTGGGCTTGAATCTCCTTAAAGAGAGCGAGCTATCCGCGCCTCAGCCTGAAGAGATTACTTTCTTCATTTTATTTTCAATTGTAATCTTGCAATTTTATTATCTTGTAAGTTTTTTCACTAACACTTTATTCGTACATGGAGTGGAGTGGGGTGGGGTGGGGGGGAAATGAAAATTTTCTTTTTCTTTTACAAATGGACATGCTAGATCATATATCTATATACGAATAGATAGATCGACCGGTGGATTCGCACCTGAGATCTTTCTACAGATAGTGGGGGTATCCACCCCTATAACCATGTTCTATTTGGAGGAATAAAATAAAATAGTCTTTCGGAGAGATGGTTGAGTGATTGATAGCCCCGGATATATTTAAAATCAATATATATATAAATGAGGATCATAGAGGAGCTGATGTGACACCTCTCTATGGCCTCCATTTCAATTTCTTTTTTTCCTCC